AAAGAGACTGTCCAGCCTTCTCCTAGTCTAACTGCCAGAGAGGCACCAACTTTGGGTTAGAAGCATAACTCCCTACAGACAGGAAGCTCTAGAGGTCTATTAGCAAGACGCTGTGCTGAAATACCGAAGGTATGCAGTTTGAGACCACCAGCTGCTCCTTGGGAGGAGGATGGGCAATCTCCCCTCATGTGATTAACTGCCTCTGAAAACCCACTGGAGTGCCAGCTATTGGTTGGTTCAGACTCAAGGTATACAAGTTTTAAAATGTCAGTAATGAAACCACTTTCTAAATATTCTTACTCTTTTCCCCCCTTAACGACTGCCTTTTTATACATACGTTTTTCATTATATAATCAAGCATTACCAAACCCGTATTGAGATAGGTATCAATAAGATTAATGTGGGGGTTTTTTTATAATTTTTATACTTTAATTATATACAATCCCTCCCCCCAAGTCCACTCCACTATGCAGCCTTCCTTCTGGACTCATGTCATGACCAAAATGGATGTCAGAAGAGACTCTGAAGATTGCACTGGAGCGTAGAGAAGCCAAAGCACAAGGAAGAATTCAAGATACTAAAGAGCTGAACAGAAGATTCCAAAAGGCAGCTCGGAATGACAAAGCAAAATACTACAATGAAATGTGCGAGAAGCTAGAGTCACAAAATCAAAAGGGCCGAACTCGCTCAGCATTTCTTAAGCTCAAGGAACTGAAGAATAAATTCAAACCTAGAGTTGCTATAATCAAGGATGCTCTGGGCAGAATAGTAAATGATCCAGGAAGTATTAAAAGAAGATGGAAGGAATATACTGAGTCATTATATAGAAAGGAATTGGCAGATACAGAAGAATTTAATAAAATAACATATGAACAAGAGCCTATGGTGATGGAAGAAGTTCAAGCTGCTTTGAAGGAAATAGCAAAAAATAAGGCCCCAGGAATAGATGGTATGCCAGTTGAAGTATTTCAGATAACAGATGTTGCCCTGGATGTGCTCACCAAGTTGTGCCAAGAAATCTGGAGAACAACCACTTGGCCAACTGACTGGAAGAGATCTATATTTGTTCCCATTCCAAAGAAAGGTGACCCAACTGAGTGTGGAAACTACAGAACAGTGTTATTGATTTCACATGCAAGCAAGATTCTACTGAAGATTATGCAAAAACGATTAGAACAGCACATCAGCAGAGACTCGACGGCACATAACAACAACAAACAACAATCATATATACCTTTTAAACAGTTTTCTCATTTGTTTCAATGCAGTATATACAATTATCCTATCTTTCTCAGTCTCACTCCAACCCCAATGTCAGTCCTGTTTTATGACAGTGGCATTATGCAGGATTTATCCTTTTGTGACTAAGATATTGCACTCAGCATAATGTCCACCAGGATCACCCATTTTGAATAGTATTTCATGAGTTCCTTGTTTTTCAATGCAGCATAGTATTCCACTGTGTGAATATACTATAGCTTTTCTATCCATTTGTTTGTTGCTTGGACACTTAGGTTGTTTCCAACTCTTTGCTTTTGTGAAAAAGCCATGGTAAACATGGGTGTGCATGATAAATGTGTTTTATCACTGTGGCACTCCCTTGAAGTTAATCTTTAAAAGTAAGTTATTCAACGCTGCACTGCAATCCCAGAGGTACGTGGTTAAAATCCACCAGATGCTCTGCTGGAGAAGGAGGGGGCAATCTCCTCCTGTACCAGTCAGATTTAATTTGACGGTACACGTAAAAATAATACAATAAAAAAAAATTTATAAAAAAAAATAAGTTATTCAACAAAACAAAGATGGATAAAGATTTCAATTAATTCTTCATAGCTGACCTATTAAGGTGGCTCTACACAAAGGAATAGCCATGGTCCAAGATTTTTTATCTAAATGCCACAAAATTAAATTTACATATCAGCTGAGGACAAATATAGCACTGTGTCTAATCTGCAGAATATGGGAGACATTTAAGCTAATTGCTGATGTTATGTGCCCTCAAGTCACTTGCAACTCATAGTGACCCTTCCAACAGCTCTGAACCCTACTCTCTCCTGAGCCTTCCTTACTGTCTCTGACACACCTATCCCACCCCCCATTATCCAGTCACTGAGTCAATCCATCTCATCCAGGGTCTTCCTCTTGTGCTGTCCCTCCACCCTCCTAAGTATAATAATGACCCTCTCCAAGGACTGGTCTCTCCTTGCAACATGCCCAAAGTTAAGTCAGAGCTTCAGAATCTTTGCCTCCAAGGAGAAGCATGGTTTCACCCTCTCCAAGATTAACTCTTAGAAGCCGTCCATGGTATATTCAATACTCTTCAGCACCACAACTCAAAGACATCAATTCTCCTTCTGACATCGTTCGTCTTAAGAACTCTGGGCAGGTCCCTGGACAGCAGACTTTCCCAATGCAATTAGTCTCTAAATATCCTGACTGCTTGTACCAAGTGTTGATTGTGAAGCCAAGCAAACAAAAGCTGTTAACAATCTCCATCTCTTCACCACCCATCCTCATGCTGCCAATCAGACCAGTGATGAGAATCCTTATTTTATTGATGCTGAGTTTCAATCTATAACGAAGGCTCCAATTCTTGATCTTCTGCAGAAAATGTTTCAGGTCCTTCTTAATTTCAGCAAGCAAGGCTGTGTCATCTGCATAACGTAGGTTGTTGGTGAGTCTTCCTCCAATCCTGATGTCACATTCTTCCTCACAGAGCCCAGCCTCCCAGATCATCTGTTCTGCATATGGACTGAAAAGGTACAGAGCTAGGACACATCCATGGTGTACAGCTTTCCCAATTTTAAACCATGTAGTGTTTCCTTGCTCTATTTGGACAACTGCCTTCTGGTCCAACTAATCATGTTAACATTTAAAGCTCTGTAGCTGATAGGTACAACCTATAGCGACCTTATGAACAAAAGATCTGAACTCTGTCCTATGGTGTGCCATCCTCACACTTCTTGATACACTAGAGCCCACTGGTGCAGTCACTGTGTCAATCAACCTGGCTGAGGGACTTCCTTCCTTTCTTTCACTGACCCTCTGCTTTTCTGAGCATCATATCCCTCACCAAGGAACAGTCCCTCCCAGCAACATGCCCAAACTATGTGAGGCAAAGCGTTAAGAGCACACTGGCTGTACTTTCTCCAAGACACACTTGATTGTTCTTTTACCAAGTCCATGCGATATTCAGTACTACTCTCCAACATCGCAGCACAAAGGCTGACCAGTTCTGTCATTCTTATTCACTGTTCAGCTCTCAGATGCATAGCATAGGTGTCTTAGGATGTGGAAGCTTAAGCAGATTCTAATTTCTGCTATTATGACTAACCCTATTTTCCTACATCATGATCCTATTTCTGCTTAATAGTATTAAACACTATCATTTCCACTGGTTTCAAAAGAAAGTGGTATTCACCTATTTTTTTTAAAAAAAAATTTTACTGTATTATTTTCACATGTACCGTCAAATCAGATCTGACTGGTACAGGAGGAGATTGCCCCCTCCTTCTCCAGCAGAGCATCTGGTGGATTTGAACTGCATACCTCTGGGATTGTAGTGCAGCGTCTTGCCACTAGGCCACCAGAGCTCCATTGGTATTCACCTATTAAAAACTTCAAACTTGCTCCTAAAATACAGTAAAATACTGAAAGTTCTAAGTAAACTTCCTTTTGTGTGGTATGTTTTAATGAACCTAAATGGTGATAAATGAACCGACTATTTGTGGTGAATTAAAAATAGAATCTCTTAAGTTAAAAACAAAAGCAATAACATATAATGTTCAACAGGTGCACTGCACAATAAATTGAAGCTTTTTATTTAACTTATTATCTGCTTAGTTTTTTATTTAGTTACGTATAAAGGCCCAGTTAATTAACTCATTAGATTGGTCAAGGCAAGACATTTGAACTACACAATAGGATTTAAAAAGCAATTGGTCTTTTAGTAGTTCACTGGTAATCATACAAACATACACACATACATATTGGTAAAGTACTCTGGATATAGGATTTTCCTTCATAATCTTGTATAATGCACTGTTCACATCTGCAATATTCTGAAATCTATATAAATTGGACGTGGCCAAATTAGAGATGTCTGATAAATTCTTAGAAAATATTTGGGAACTACAGCTTCATTCCCCCCCCCCCCAAAAAATAAAATTTTAACTATTCTTTAAAAAAAAAACAAAAAACCAAATAAAATAAAATTACAACAGATTTAACAGACATTTTTGGGGAGGGAGCAAAAAAAATTCAAGCCATAACTCAATTTCCTTTTTTTTTTTTTGTACTACAACTTAAAAAAAAATCACCAGTAGTAATGTTTACATTTTAAACTATTAACTGTCCGAATTAAAAAGAAACCTCTACAGTATTATTGCACTCCACGAATGTACACAATTCCAAAATGCCAGCACTGAAAAACTGTCTTGCATTGAGATTTTCCAAGAGGTACAACGAGCCTGCCAAGAAAGCATCCGGTCTGTACTAACAGCTTGCTGTCTTCAGTACAGGCCTTCATAATGTCAGTCACGCTGCTCTTGCAAAAATTTCTTAATGTCTGAAAGATACAGAAAAGTTATTTTAAGAAACTACACTTCTGAACTCTCAGAAAATGAATTCAGTAATCACAAAAGAACTCAGAATATGGTCATACATTTCACTTTGAATTTCTATAGAAGTCTGCATATGCTTTAGAATTAATTCAAGTTTAGGAAAGGGTATCTATACAGAGTATCTCTCCGTAAAAAAAGTTAAAGGCTTTTACTAAACTTTGAAGATAAAATTATAGAAATAGTGTTACCTTTATTTTGGCAAGTCTAAACCCTTTTAATTTGCTAATAATAAATTTTAATGAAGAAAAACATCCTTAAATCTTATACTGGAAAGCTATTCAATTTCTAGCTGAATCATGATGAGAATGAAATAAATCCTATACGTAACAATATTTTTTAAATTACTTACAAAAGAGTTTCCAGTGCTGTTACGTGGGGCTATGATCGATGATGTGGGAGTGAATCCATATGCACATTGAGCTTCATTTCATTGTCAAGAATTTGAACAAGCTGTTGCATGGATGGAAGGTGGCCAGATTCCAGCTTAGACCATACAGGCACATCTATAAAAACAAATGGCATCACCCACCCACAGAGAAAAGTATAAGATTCTATAAGACATTCATTCCATAAATATTTATTGTTGTTACACAAAGCTAAGAATACGTAACTGAGACAAGGAGATCACTTTAAGAATGACACGTAAGTCTCTAACACTGACTCAACAGAGAAATTCTGTCATTTAAATTGAGATCTATAAATTAAAGTTATCAAAATGTAATGGGGTTCCTGAGAATAGAAAGCCAGAAACCTTTGAGAATTCAAGGAGTCCCTGGTTATGAACAAGATCTATTTCTAACTGGTCTTTAATAATTTGCAAGTAATTCTGTACAGCTAAACATGGTTCTTATTTTGCCTTATGTTAGTACAAGAAAAAGGTCTTTTCAATGATTTAAAAGCTGCACGTGGATTAAGTGAAAATGTCTGACTGACAGTGAAAGGGTGGGTCAAAGTGAAGGTAGGTTTTTTTTAATAATAAAGAGTGTTTCTAAGCAGTGAGTAGAGATGAAAAGGCAGAGCTCCACTCAAAGACAACAGCGAACTGCAGCTTCAAATGCGTGGAGCTCTCCAGAGATCTGTCAATAGTCCAATCTCTCACATCAGGCTCCTGAAAGGGCTTACTATGGATTATTTTTTTCCATTCCAGACACTGTGACAAATTATCCAAACTGTAAAGAACTCAGACTGTTACTGTTTTGCCTATTAGCTCATGTCTGTGATAAAACTGTTTTGAAATCCTGCAGTCTGTAAATCAAACAGGTATTTGTAACCTGTAGTAGAAGTATGAATGGCATTTGTCACATTCCAAGATAAAGAGAAATTGAAATGTAAGAGAAGAATTGTATGAGGGAGTCTGGACAAGCGAATAGAGATTGCCTTATGTACCACTGAGTCAGGAACAGACCAACAGCTGACTCTCGGGCAAGTCTGCAAAGGCAGTTAATCAAACCAGAGGAGACTGTCCATCCTTCTCCCATGGAGCAATTGGTGGACTTGAACCAGGTACCTCTAGGTTGGCAACGCAAACTTCTTAACTACTAGGTCACCAGATCAGGTATTAGCAAACTACAAAGGATTAGATAGTAAATATTTTTGGCTTTAAGGATATAGAAATCTCTTCTCACTGCCACTCAGCTCTGTTGTATAGCCTGACAATAGACAGGGCTATATAAATAAATGAGCATGACTGCATTCTAATAAAATTTTGTTTACAAGTTAGGCAGTTGAAAATATGGCCAAGGGGCGAGAATTTGTTAACCCATAGTTTAGATCTCTAGGGGCCTTTGGCTACATTAAGTGTTCTGATCTTTATCTTGAAAATTAAATAAAGCCATTTCATGAATATCAAGCACCTAAAAATGATGTAATCCTCATTAAAAAAATCACTGCAATGTCAGAACAAACTCATGGCCTTTGAGTCTGAACCAGCTCCTATTTGACCCTTCAGTGACTTTTCAGGAGGCTATAAATAAACCCCAAGAGAGACTCATCTTTCTTCCACAGAGCTGCTGCCTCTGGGTTAGCAATGCAACGCCCCAGAGCTCCCTGTTCACAAGAGCTGGTGAATTTTTTTGGTATAAGTCTAGAAGAAAATAGTTTATGTTGTTATGTTCTGTAACAGGGAGCAAGAACTAACTCCCAGCTGACTCTTCAGTGGGCTATAAATTGGACAGTAAACTGCACAGAAGGAGACAGTCCATCTTTCTCCTATTCAGCAGCTGTTGGATTTGAACCATATGCTTTCAGGCTTGCAACTCAAGTCCTTCTCACTAAGTCACCAGGCTTTATGAAATAACATATTTACTTATATGACCAGAGAGACAATGTATCACCATTAAATTATGTGGTCAATTAGCAACAATGCAGAAGAATCTGCATGTAATAAACTGAGTTGCTGTTTAAAAAAAAAAATTATGTGGTCAGAAAGAAAATGCATCTCACCGAACTGAAAACTTAGAATGAAATCTTACTTTTATATGATTTCCACGTATCACAAAATAGCCTTGATTTTAAAAACTATTACATAATAGTACAAATCACAGGTTCACAGACTAGACTGGTAGAAAACTGGTTTTAACTGCAGTGGTGGCACTGAAGATTTACCAGTAGAGTTTGAAAAATTTAGAAGGCAGAATCGACAAGACTAGAACCCACTAGCTATAAGAAGTTAAGGGAAAGGTTGATGTTACCCTAGGATTTCAGACATGGGCAAAAAGGTCAATGACGAAGCAAAATGAACAGGATTTGTAGGAATTAGAGGTGATTTAAGAATTTACTTTAGGGAAGAGTTATGTTTAACATTCTATTAGCACCTAATAGAAAAGCCTTATACAGACTAGAGTTGTACATTCAAGAATCACACAGATATCATTTCAGACCCACAGGAGCAGATGAGGACTACACAGATAGAACACAGAACAACATAGGTAAGCTTCTCTTATGAAGAATAAAAAAAAACCCTAATTACAGGTCATTTAAAATTTATTACAAAATGCCAAGTTTTAAGAACCCACCATTTAAAGTTATCTCAAATGCACCTGTGGACATACACTGGTTCTCAATCATGTTGCTCAAGAAGAAAACCATCATACATGCATAGACCTAAGAGAAAATAAAATTAATCTCAATAGGCAAGGTCATACTGTATCCAAAACAAAGCAATTTGTAATAGTAAACTCTGTATTCTATAATCTCACTTTAATTGGTAAATGTTCTTATAAAATCTACTTTAAAAAGATTGGTTTTATCATTTTTCTAACATAATGAATGCATGAATTCACAAGAGACTAGTGATACACTAAGAAATAACACTGTAAATACACTAATGCTAATATTCAACATAACCTATTCATGTTACAAGCAATTTCTTACAAATCAAATTGAGGAAAAAGAGCAGTAGTGTGGTGTTGGCCTAAACTTTGCCCTTTGTTAGCCATTACATTTAGCCCGCTCTGGTATCCAGCTACCTGCAGACAAATGCTCTTGCACATCAGTATGGTCTTGGAAATCACCAACAGCTGCGAGACTAGGATAAGAGAGTGCTTTTCACACTGGGCAGCAAAACTTGAGGCGAGTAAGACCCTGGTGATGGTGGTGGAGAGACTGTGACATTGCTATTGAGAAACTGTGGCAAGGTGTGACCAGAGGCTTCTTGTATTTGTGCTGGCCACAGTCAAAGGTTTTCATTATTCTTGCCAGATGCTTCAAGGAGAAGCTGGCTTACAACTGCTGAAGCAAGTCTTGGATGATTTGGATTTGACTGCTGATCTGAAACTAGAGCCTGGAATAATTGAGGAACTGGGTCTTGGGACTAAAACTTGAATTTGGATTGGTATTCTCTGCTTCCTCTCCTCTCCAAATTCCTTCCCTAATAAACATCACTGTTGGTACTCTAACTGCATGTCTGTGAAGCCACAATTAATAAACAAATCTTCTTCTGCTGTTATGGCTCTAGAGGCACCATGGCACCGGACTATGGGCTCTTTATCTGTTTTCTGCTCTGAGGTAATGAGGGACTATGTTATTCTTACTACTTCTGGCCACTTCAGAGAGACGCTGATGGCCCTGTGCCTCTGTTTCCTGTTTTCTCCTAAGACAAAGCACAAATTTATTCATTTACTTTTTGAAAGCAAATCTATACTACCTTATACTCTCCCATGTCAGAGTAAACTGCAGCCTTGAACCATTGCCCAGACCATTACACTTCAGGTGACAGCACTGACAGGGCTGCAGGAAAAATAAAATTAGAAGCTCTTTGCTGGATAGAAAGGTTTAAATGCAACAAACCACAGCAAACTGCTTCCAAAAAACTAAAATGTTCATATTATATAAGAACTTTCTTTCTCCCTGCCCCATCTAAGGGCTCTGATTTCAGAGTGATTATCTACCTTCAAGTCTGGTAAGAGAAAACATCTACAGAAAAGGTGATTAAGAAAGATAAATGATCTAGGAAAAATGTGCTTGCAACAACAACCTACATATCAAAACAACAACAAACAACAAAACCACAAAACAACCCACAATTCTTAATTCTATTTATATATATATTCTTTCTGGCAATTTGAAAACCAGATCTTCATGATACTAACTTTTTAAGAGGAATTTGGCAAAAAACAAGTTAGTGGTAACTTCTTTTTAAAATATGAATAAACCTCTTAATACCCATTTCTCTCTCTCATTGCGATATAAACCTGATAGAGTCTGATACAACTCAGAGTGGACTTTTTTTTCAGGTTTCTGAGAATATAAATCACGTGGAAGGAGATGGCCCATCTTTCTCCATCATAGTTAGTTACTAGTGAATTCAACCAACCAGAGAATTACAGCCTTTTGATCAGCAGCACAACTCCCTACAGACCAGTTTCCTAAGTATGTAAACAGAGGAGTCATGTAAAGTTATTAAAAACCAAAACAGATATTACAACATTTTCAATGACAATCTAAAATTAAAATTTCAAAGTCAATGTTACAGAATTACATACCTTATTTTCTTGACCCCACTGCCAGATGCTAGGAGCTTGCATGCCAAAGAAAGCAAAAGGATCCTTGCCAACAATTATTAAGCCTATTAATACTAATTTGAAGACTGACAAGAAAGATGCTATGTGTCTGTTGGGGAAAAAAAAAAAAGAAAAATAACCCACCACTCTTTAAGTTTCTCGTTTACTTAAAGATTATACTATTCATATAAAATTGTAAAGTGCAGGCATTTTCTAGATACTTAATCTTTAGACAGACTGGCATCTCTCTGAAATGATCCTTCTCCATTTTTCCTTGTTAGACAGTAATCTTCCATAGTTTTGTCAAATAAACGTGCTATTTATAAAATGGTATTTCCTGTATGTTATTAAAACCAATAATGACATTATACCAACTAAGATATGTCAATTTAACCACATCACAATTTATAAAGTAATTTCTTTTATTTTTTTTTAGTAATTTCTTTTTATATTAATGAAGATTGCTTACCTATATATTGGTTGAGGGAGGTAATTTTCTCCTTCAATGCGGATGTCTGGGTACCGCTGGCTAATAACCCGCATGTACTCCTCAAACACCCGCCTATACCCTCAGGAAACACTGCAGAAAAAGAAGTTATTTCCATTAAGAAACTGACAACACATCTATATTTTTTCTAATTACACAAAACTTTAAAATCCATCATTAATATTAAAATTAAGTGTTCCTGAAGGTGACAATACTGCTTTAAAAACTACAAAAAAGTTGAAATTTTTACTTAAGTTACTTCTGCCATTTAAGCATTAAGTTTGTTGTTCCCTCAAAATAATTAAAAATAGAGCAAAAACAGTAATTTCACATATGTACCTGCAAAAAACTGGAAAGCAGAGACTCCAAACAGAAACATGCATATCACTTGCATGTATGTCAGTTGCAACACTGTTCCCAAAAACCAGAAGATATAAATAACCTAAATGCCCACCATCCTATGTAATGAATACTATTTGGTCATTACTAAATGACTTTTTTTTTTAATTTTATTATTTTTGCATGCATGTACCTTCAAATCAGATCTGACTGGTACAGGAGGAAATTGCCCCTCCTTCCCTGGCAGAGCATCTGGTGGATTCGAACCGTGTGCCTCTGGGACTGCAGTGCAGTTTTCTTGCCACTAGGCCACCAGAGCTCCCCTTAATAAATGACTCTTGAAACATGCTAGAACATGGACAGAGCTTGAAGACTGAGCGTGCTAAGTGATATAATTACAAAAGAACAAACATGATTACATATATTTAAAAGACAAAATCAAGCAAATGTATGAAGCAATGTTTATCAGTGGTTACCAAGTGTATAGGAAGGGGAAGATGTTACTGTTTATAATACTAAGTTTCAATTTGTTGTTAAGTGCTGTCTAGTACACGACTCAGAGAGACCCTATAAACAATGAATCTGAAACCTGTCTTTATCCTGTGCCAGCTCAGTTTCTGGTGACAGAAATCATTCTGGTGACCGCCTACTGCTAAGCAGCTGCATTATCAAGCCAAAATTATTTGGTTTGAATCCACCATCTGCTCTGCATAGTAAAAGATCAATCTCCTTTTGTGAGATTTACCCCCAAGGAAAACACAGTTGGAGGGTCAGTCATGAGTAGGTTCCAACTTGACAGTGCACAAGGAAAAAGTTGCACAGTCAATTAATGTGACTGCTGTTATATATCTGCAAGCAAAACAACCAACCAAACAAACAAAAAAACCAAAAAACTGAACGGGCAAAAGCTATACAATACATATATTAACAGCAACAAAACTTGCTGAGGCTGCTTATGTACAGCCAGGTACCTCATGAGATTTGGGTCTTCTGTTTTGGAGGACTGGGGTAAGGGTTTCACAAAGCATCCCAGTTAACTGGCCCAATATTTAGTACTTCTGAACAGAAAATTTCAAAGGGTGGCTCGGAAAGATAAAGCAAAGTATTATAATGAAAAGTGCAAAGAGCTGGAGTTAGAAATCAAAAGGGCCAAACTCACTCATTCTTAAACTGAAGGAACTGAAGAACAAATTCAAGCCAAGAGCTGCAATATTTAAGGATGCTTTGGGCAGAATATTATATAGTCCATGAAGCAATAAAAGATGATGGAGGGAGTCACAATACTAAAAGGTACACAAAAGGTGACACAAAAGAATTTCATGAAACAATGTATGAGCAAGAGACTGTGATGATGAAGGAAGGTGTTCAAGCTGCTCTGAAAGAATTGGCAAAAAATGGCTCTCTGCTACTCGTCGATCGAGATTGCCCTCTCATCTCGTGCAGCCTCAGCTCATCCTGAAGATACCATGGTGAAGGTCGGAATAAAAGGATATGGCCACATTGGGCACCTGGTCACCAGTGATGCTTTTAACTCTAGCAATGTGGATGTTGTTGCCATCTATAATCCCTTCATTGACCTCAACTACATGGTCTGTATGTTCCAATATGATTCCACCCATGGCAAGTTCAACAGCACTGTCAGGCTGAAAATGGGAAGCTGGTCATCAGTGGGAAAGCTAGCACTATCTTCCGGGAGCAAGATCCCGCCAACATCAAGTGTAGTGATGCTAGTACTGAGTATGTTGTGGAGTCCACCGGTGTCCTCACAACCCTGGAGAAGGCTGGGTCTCACTTGAAGGATGGTGCCAAATGGGTAATCATCTCTGCTCCTTCTGCCGATGCCCCCATGTTTGTGATGGGCGTGAACCATGAAAAGTATGACAACTCTCTCAAGATTGTCAGCGATGCCTCCTGCTCCACCAACTGCTTGGCTCCCCCAGCCAAGGTCATCCATTGTAGAGGGATTCGGCATTGTAGAGGGACTCATGGCCACAGTCCATGCCACCTAGAAGACTGTGGATGGTCCCTCTGGAAAGCTGTGGCATGATGGTAATGGAGCTGCCCAGAACATCATCCCTGCATCTACTGGCACTGTCAAGGCCGTGGGCAAGGTCATCCCTGAAATGAATGGGAGACTTACTGGCATAGCTTTCCGTGTCCCCACCCCCAATGTGTCAGTTGTGGACCTGACCTGCCATCTGGAGAAAGCTGCCAAATATGATGACATCAAGAAAGTAGTAAAGCAGGCATCAGAAGGGCTCCTCAAGGGCATCCTGGGAAACACTGAAGATAAAGTTGTCTCCTGTGACTTAAATAATGACATTCACTTTTCCACCTTTGATGCCAGGGCTGGCTTTGCTCTGAACGACCACTTTGTCAAACTCATTTCCTGGTATGACAATGAGCTTGGCTACAGCAACTGGGTCGACCTGATGGTTCACATGGCCCCCAAAGAATATGGGCCCCCTGGACCATCAGCCACAGCAATAGCACTAGGAGGGAGGGAGAGGGAAAGAGAGAAGCGGGGAGAGGATGGAGGAGGGAGGAGGGAGAGGGAGAGAGCCTCAGCTACTGGAGAGTCCTTGCCCCAACTTGATCCACCCACACATTGAGACTCTCAGATCCTTGACACAGTTTCCATCCAATTCCCCTGAGAAAGAGGAGGGACTTAGCCCATTTTGTCATGTACCATCAATAAAGTACAATGTACTCAGCCCCCCAAAAAAAGAATTGGCAAAAAAACAAGACCCTAGGAATTGACAGCATATAAACTGACATATTTCAACAAACAGATGCTGCCTTGGATGTGCTCACTAAATTGTGCCAAGAAATCTAAAGTACAACCACCTGGCCAACTGACTGGAAGAGATAAAGAAGGGTGACCCGACAGAGTGCGGAAATTATTGAATAATATCACTAATATCACATGCAAGCAAGATTCCGCTGAAAATTATCCAAAAATTACCGGAGCAGTACATCATTAGAGAACTGCCAGATGTGCAGACTGGGTTTAGGATAGGTCATAGTACTAAAGATACTGTAGCTAATGTTAGATGGATCTTGGTTGAAAGCAGAGTACCAGAGGAATGTTTGTGTTTCACTGACTATGCAAAGGTGTTTGTGTGGATCACAACACACTGTGGCTGACTCTGAGAAGAATGAGAATCCCAGCATTTGATTGTGCTTATGTAAAATCTCTATTTGGACCAGGAGGCAGGCGTCAGAACAGAGTAAGGAGACACTGCATGGTTCAAAATCAGGAAGGATGTACATCAGGGATGTATCCTATCTCCATACTTTTTCAATCTATATGCAGAACAGATTATCCAGGAGGCTGGGTTGTATGAGAAGGAATGTGGCATCAGGATTAGAAGACTCGAATACCTATGTTGTGCAGATGACACAACCTTGCTTGCTGAAACTGAGGAGGACTTGAAGTATTTGCTACATAAGGTCAAGGACTGTAGTCTTCAATATGGATTGAAGGTCAAAATCAAGAAAACCAAGATTCTCACCACTGGGCCAACAGGCAGTGTTACGACAGATGATGAAGAGAGATTGAAACTGTTAACAGCTTTAGTTTGCTTGGCTCCTCAATCAAGACTTGGTACCAGCAGCCAGGAAATCAAGAGATGAATTGCACTGGAACCTCTTCAGAGTACTGAAGAATAATGTCAGTCTGGAGACTAAGGTGTGCCTAATCCAGGCCACAGTCTTCGCAATTACTTGCTATGCATCAGAGAGCTGGACAATGTCTATCGATGACAGGAGAATGGATGCCTTTGAGCTGTGGTGCTGGATAAGTGTGCAGAATATACCATGGACTGCTAAGAGAACAGGTTCGTCCAAAAGAGGGTGAAACCAGGCTGCACCTTAGAGGCAAACATTCTGAGGCTGACATACTCTGCGCATGTTGCCAAGAAGGGACAGTCCTTGGAGAGGGACATCATGCATGGAAAAGTGGAGGGACAGAGAAAGGAAGACCACTGATGAGATGGACTGATTCAGTGACTGGGGTAATGAGGGTAGGTGTGTCACTGATGAGATGGACTGATTCAGTGACTGGGGTAATGAGGGTAGGTGTGTCAGAGACAATAAAGCTGGCACAGGACAGAGCAGGCTTCAGAGGTATTGTACATAAGGTTGTGCAAGAGACTCAAGGGCACATAACAACTTTTATTTTAGCTCCTCATTAGTAGAAGACAGGTTAGTCTCCTCCCATTAAAATTTAGAAAGCCACCTCAAAAATTTGATGGAGGGTCAACAGGAGTTGACTCAAAGGCAGTGAATCTGGCTTTTGAAGTCTTTAAAGGAAGTTCTGATGGCCTAGTGGATAAGGCACTGTCCTGCCAACTCAAAGGTTCAAGTTCACCAGCTACTTTGCAGGAGAAAGATGAGCAGTATTATCCCTGTGATTTTACTGCTTCTGAAAACGCCACTGAAGGGTCAGCTCTGAGCTTGTTCTAGCTTGACAGAAAATAACAACTTCTCCAAACTACAAATCAAAGGCATCGATTCCATCATTCTTATTCAGTGTCCAACTTTCAGGAAGCATCAAAAGGAGATGGATGGAAGGAATCCATAATGTCTATGTACCAAAAAGAATTGGTCAACACTGAACCATTTCAGGAAGCAGCACATGACCAAAAGCCAAATATAATGAAAAAGTTCAAACTATACTGAAAACACTAGGGGGGGAAAATAAATAAGGTACCAGGAATTGAGGGGAGACCAACGAAAATGTCTCAATAAGC